AAGGTTACCGGAACGCCACCGAGGTGCAGATGACTCAGCTCGTGCAGCCCGGGCACACCAACTACCGCGGCGAGCTCAGCGTTGGGCAGCTCCTGAAATGGATCGACACCGCAGCCTGCCTTTCTGGTAAGCCGCCGCCGCTGCTGCTGCTAGCAGCTCATCGCCTTGGGCAGACGGAGGGGCGGGCGCTCGTTCCTTGGCAACCTTCCCTCCGTTCCTGCTGGATCAAACGTGTGTGTGTGTGCGCGTGTGCTCGTGCGTGTGGCCTCCGCTTGCTCAGTGCCTGCTCTTAAGGTGGAGAGCCAAAGTTCCCGCGGCGCGGGGAAGGGAGAGGAGGAGGAGGGGTGGGCAGGCGTCGAGTTTGAGAGGTCAGTATTGGGAGATTTCTGGACGCCACCCCCCACCCCCGGGGTCAGATCTCCCACCAGCTCGAGTCGGGTGCAAAGTATAAGCGGAGCCCGAAAAAACCCACAACGACCATTATAAGCGGAGCGTTAATACCCAGTGTAGCCTGGTGGGTACAAGTGACCGACTAGGACTCGGGGAAACCCGGATTTTCACCCACATCCTTCCTCTGCTCATTGGGCCTGATGGCCTGGAAACCAGGAAGGCAACCCCAGAAACGCCTCGTTCGCCTTTAGGGTCGCTATCAGTTGCTTCTGACTCGAGGGCTCAGAAGAACACAGCGTGCGTAGCCAGGGTGGTGCCGAGCCCAACGTGCCCAGGACCCTTTCGCACGGGCGAGCTTTGCCAGGTTCAGCAGCCTGATCGCGGGGTGGAAGGTGATGGAGCAGAGCCCCTTTGTTGTTATTACCAAAAATGCGGGCGTTGGAAACAGCAGCCGCCGCCCTGCAAAGTACCTTAGTAGGGAGATCTGGTGGTGTAGTAGTAAAAATTGGAAGGGTTTATGCTCATTAGGACAGTCCTCAGAGCCATCCTGCCACATAAAGGGGAGTTCAGACTTGCAGGTGACTAGATGAGTGGATATCAACAGTTAAGGAGTAAAGTTTTTGTTGAATATGCATTGTCATATTTGGTGTTTTTTAATTATCCTGCCTAATTAGTGACTGGACCACTACTCTGGGTGGTTAACAAATCAGGGCAGTATAATATAACCATATAAAAACCAGTAATAATAATCTAATCTAATAGAACACCACTCAAAAGAAATCAGATCTCTAAATATAAATCAACTAACACCAAGGAAAGAAAAAAAGTTTTATATATGAAAAGCCAAGGAAGGAAGGAAGGAAGGGGCCAAATGCACTTCTAATGGGGGAGAATTCCATAATGACATGACCAGAAGTCCCAGTTTTGAGTAGCTGGCCATAACATCCCAGTCTTAGGAGGTCCTGGAGGGGCAGGAGGACATTTTGAGGGGAGAGATGCTCTGACAGGTATCAAGGTCCTAAACTGTTAAGGGCTTTAGAGGTAGCCATTGCAGATGAACTAGGACAGGTGATAATAAATAGCCATCACTCTTATGTGCTCTTAATATATTGGCAGATATCCTGCCAGCATAGCAAAAATGACATTGCTGGCAGTGGCACATTGTTGCTAATTAAAGAGTCCCTTCTTTGATTTCATAAGGATACTACATACAGCTTGAAGTTAAAGCTGGGACTCTTAAATTATCGGCAGTTTGTGGTTGCCAGGGATGTCTTACTGTTCTACCAATGGAGCTAGCTATGCAACAGTATTTTGGCCTTGTCAATTAATTTAATTGGAAAACAAATCTCTTTTCCCTACACTGTGCATTTGTCTCATTTACTTTCCAAATTGGAAAGCCTCTAACACAAAAACGCTATTGTACAGCTGGAAAATGTGCAGAAGAGAGAGCAAGGAACATCTTTCCTTTGACAAATAGCACTGTACACAGCATTGCAACTGAATAGTAGATTGCAAATAAAGTCATTTGCAGTATCAATGTTGTCCTTAACTTTCTCAGGCTAGATTTGTCTTTTGTTTCATTCATTCCTGCTATACACTTAATTGTTATATTCACTGCATTATCTACTGTGGCAGGTTCTCAGTCTCCAGTTAGTCTACCCAGTCAAAGCCCATTGGTGTGTGTATGTGTGTGTGTGTGTGTGTAGGAATACACACACACACACAGAGAGAGATAGACACACACACACACAGACAGAGAGAGAAAGAGAGAGTCAGGAACCTATGTCCTAATTTGTGTGGTTTTCACTTCTCACCTACCCTTGCCTTTGGATCACCCTTACTTACATTGTCAGTGAACTGCATTTGCCTTTTTGGTGCCTCTTTACCTTGTTTGGAGAAAGACCTCTGGTGCTCTTTCAGTTTGTTTGAGGTTTCAGCTAGAGATGGGAGTATTCATATATGAATATCCCCCCACAGGTGGAAATAACTGTCCACTCACCATTCCGCCGCTGACACGAGCTCTGCAATGGATTGGCCACTCTGTGGCCTGGCAGAGAGGCTTGTCATCCCGTCTCCTGCCAGGAGTGGCTAATCCATTACGGACAATGGC